AGAGGGGTTGTAAGACCAAAAAATTTAAAGACGTGTGGAGCTTAATTTGAATTTCCGGAGGAGTAGGGGTCTCTGAAAAATCCCTTCCGTGGGGTAGGTATGGATATGTTCTGGAACTACACAATCGACTTTTCCTGCATTCCAAAAATACAGAAAATGTATGAAAATGTCCACCCCAACCTTGCTCTGGTCCCATTGTTCATACACACTGAGGTGGAATACAGGAAGGGTCTACTGACTTGAACACTTGAGTGCTTAATTAAACATGGCCGGGTGGGCAAAAAATTGTGTTTGTAGATGTAAGCACATGTAGACATAGCCTTTGTGTTCCCATACAATGAATTATCCATCTTCCAGGAAAAACAGTTCTGTTCGTATGCAGTCATTTCTTGTTGTATTGTTACACAGTACAGACCACTTGGAAACATTCTACAACTGTCTTCAGCCCATTATAATTCTTGACAAGGTTCTCTCAGGTAGTCTTTTTAAGAGTGGCATGCAATGCCATTTTGTGATCACTCACTCAAGGAGCAATGTTAAAAAATCCTCTGGTTCAATAAAAGACACAAGCTGCGACACAAGCTTAAATAGATCTATTGCCATTTCACTTCAACCACCAAACAACAAGCCTGAAGAAATCAAAGACACCCGCTGTGTTTATGATCGACTTGACTTCTTCAAGTGATGATAGTTCGGTAAAATCTTGGTCAGAAAATCCAGCTGCAGTGTCTGCGGTACAGGTCTCTCTCCTTGAACTCTTCTGCTACAGCACTGTCCATAAATCACAGTATTCTCTGGCAATGTCTCTTGTGAAGTGACTTCACATTTCGCTCCTATAACACACCCATGAGATACACTAGTATAACGTCCAATCTTGCTTTTTGCTTCAAGGATGTTATTATCTCCGACCTTCACCGCCTCGCACTGACTGCCAACCTCAAACACGTTGTGGTTTCCTATTTTCATGATTATCTTTTCGCCAGCCTGACCATCGTCATCCAGGTAAGAGGAGTTGAGTATTGTGGCTTGTTCTTCGATCAGATTGTTGTCACCGATGATTATCGGCCCAGCTTCGGCTATTATGCGAGCTTTGGGGTGGATAACTGTCCGTGAACCGATTGTTACCTCGCCCTTTATTTCAGCCTCTTGGCAAACGACTGATCCAGAGCCAATTTTTAATTTCCGAGGAGTTTGGGAGGAAGAATGCTTCGACATATTGCTAGAGAGCTTCTAGCAGATGTCTCTTCGTCCCACAATGCACAGCTCTTGGGGGTATAACCGCTGATCAGTGCCAAGTTTTACTCGGTGAGTCGGTGAACAGATGAATTTACCTCGAATTTTGATGAAATAATCAGCTTAAAAATCTCGGCATCTTCCAAATGAACACTTCTTCGTAAATGTAAGTAACGTAGAATTGTCTCCGTTCCTGTTTCAATCATTTTAAGTCGTTTATCCAGAGGCATATCTGAACCACACTGGCGTGACATGAATTAATAACTTTGCACATGCACTGATCAGACTTTTGTGTTGTTCGCTTGTGTGTAGATCAGAGACTCCTTGATGGAGAATTTGCCATGCCGCTCCCAAAGAAAATTCCTCGAGGTGGAAAATCCAAAAGTCAAGATGAAGGCCGTGTGTTTGCAAATCGCTACCGTATGGAGAAACGACTTGGAAGCGGCAGCTTTGGAACTGTTTACTTGGTGGAAGACATGAAAACTAAAGGAGAATGGTAAACAATTGTGATAACACAAGCTAACAGATAATTAGATAAATTAATTTTTTGACAACCTGCTGATGCAGCTGAAAATTGAAGTGTTTAAGTGTCATAAATGTGAATGAAATGCTACATTCTAATGACAAGTTCTTTCGTCTAATCACCAAATTGAACTTGCGCGTAAAATCCCAATCAGTTGTAAGGCTTACGTACATTCCTTTAGCTTCTGATCCCCTGAGGGTATTTTAATAGTAGCGCCGTTCCATCCAGAACCTTCCTTAATTCCATGTATAATATTTTCCACATAAGAATCGTGCACTGACGTTTATATTTTGGAAAATATTGACTGTTTTGTGTAACTTTTTTGACTAATTAGTGTTGTGTCTGGTTCACACTAGTAACATAAACAAAATAATTAAGATCAGATTTTCAGCATATTATCCTTGTGTCATTATTTTACTGCTGTCTTTATGTTGCGTTCACACTGCTGGCTAAAACGTCAACATAAAGAGCTGCTGGCTTTCTCTCCCAGTTTTCTTAGGTGGTTTTCCCCCTGCCGCTTTGACTTCCTCTCACTCCCTCCCCCCCTCCCCACTAACTGACCCTGGGTATCTGAGGATGATGATCTGCACAGCTCCTTTCCATTATTTTCATGATGCATTAAGTTTCCTTTAATTAATAAGGTTGAATATTCCTAATATAGTTATCATTATGTTGTTAAAAGTGATGGTCTCATTAAATTCTTTTAATCATTGTTTAATTATCAATTTACTCATTTAGGAAAGTGTTGAAAGAAATCTATGTTGGTGAGCTGCAGCCTGATGAAACAGTTGATGCCATGCGAGAGGCCAGATTGTTGTCCAATGTATGTTTATTTTTAACATAGATACATAGGGGATATTACACAGTGGCTCAAAGATATGAATTTTATGGTCAAATTACGAAAACAATATCTCACGAGTGAGCACAGTGAACTAGTGAGATATTGTTTTCGTCACGAGAACATAAAATTCATTTCTTTGAGCCACCATGAAAGGTTCTTTTTTATTATATAGACATAAACTACAGAAGCAAGTCAAAAGCACAAACTGTATG